AAGCAAAAAGGCCCTTGCCTTTGTGTAAGCACTGCCCAGCCATAGCTAAAATGTCCCTGTATTATCAAGACTGTTTTTGGCACAAATCCAAAACAGCCCCGTGCCAGCTACTGTGAAGAAGATTAACTCTATCCCAGCCAAAACCAGTACAAGCTTGCATAGCTTCTACTCTTGGTCAAGCATTAATACAATCAGTGCTGGAGAACCTGTTCTTTTTTGTTATGCAAATGTTGTCTTCCCTGGTGAGCTAGAATAGCCCTTTAGCAGTTGTAACCTGTGCAGCGAAGGTGATCGAGGAGAGATCAGGCTTCCCTATGTCTGCATGGTCAATGGAGTGCTCTGAAAATGGAAGATCTTCACCCTCCTGTAAACATGGGTGGCCTAGAAACAGCAGTGATCAGGATTCCTGCAGCTGAGTGTTGGGTGCTGTCGGATGCTGTGGTTCTCAAACCCAAACAACCAGCCACATGGACAGGGGAGCCGGCCGCCAGTCCCACTGGTGCTTCTAAGTGGCTTATTGATCCAGAGTCAGACCGGTATGGGCAGGGAGCAGCACAACTGGGTTCTTAATGCTTGTAGAAAGAAAAGTGCTACAGGCTGAAGTGGGGAGCGTAGCTTCTGACACGCATCCCGAGCTATAATGAAAACTGCTGGCCTGATTAATTCCTGTGCACTGGAGGCAGTAATTTGGCAGCTCTGTAATCCTTGCAGGCAGTCATGAGAGAGAGCCCAGCCCTGCCAGACTGCCCTGCCTCCAGTATGGAAGAAAACGTATTTAGCAGGTTCCACGTGAAATATTTAGAAAAAAACTTTTGTTCTTTTGCTCACACAGAACCTGGTTGCATCTTACAAAGAGACTCGGAATGGACTGGTGGGAATGGATTACTCAACTAAATTTGCACCATGGTAAAGATTTTTGTTGTGAGACTGGAAGCTCCTTCTTTGCTCCCATCCCAAAGTGGTGCGACCCATCTGCTCTGTGGTCATTGGGCATGGGTAGGGGTCTAGGCGAGATTCCCTTGCTCTTTGTGTTGGTGTAGAGCTGCTCTTCATAGCGCTTCCAGGCAACAGTTCCCTGAAAACATTCCTGCAATTGGGAATTGCTGAAGAGCAGCAATACTGTGCCAAGAGCCCCGTGTGCTGGGGGCAGCGATGTGGACAGGGCACTGGGCAGACACACAACTTGTCTTTGTGCTGTTCTGTGCATCTGGGGTGGTTGAGAGCAGCCGGGGAAGAAGCGGAGCAGAACTCGATCCCCTCCTGGTTTGCTGAATACTGTGCCACAAGTCACCTCACCTCATAGCCATTCTGTTTTTCTGTGGGATGAAGAGACACCTCTGATTATTCCTGTTGCAAAAGGATCTCTCGTTTGGGTAAATACGATGAGTTCTAATTAGGGGTTTTAGTCTCCAGTGCTGGAATGGGCAGAGTTAATTCTGGACTGAAACTGCACAACTCAGTTCAGCCTAATGCTGAGAACATCTGGAGAGTTTTCCCTATAGAATTGCAATGTGAAACAATTTTCTGAGGCTTACAGGTCAGGATTTCTTATTTTCAGCTGGCTTTGTGCTTTAATGGTTGCAGTGGATGGCTCCACCTGGTGGCACTTTGCGATCCCAGGACCAGTGGCACTGCAGAAGGTCTTTATTTGTGGCCTCTGCTTGAGCGTTTCCAAGCTGGCCCTTTGCCCAGAGCAGACAGTCCTGATCTGCCTGCCCCAAGGTGTTCCTCTGTCAGATAATCAAAATCAGACCGGTTCAAATTGCAGCCACCTCGTACTGGCCATTTCTAAGTGTTAGAGCTGGTCAACAATTAAGGAAAAACTGTTCGGGCCCTTTCTTCCTGTTTTCCAAAATTCATCAGAACATCAAACGTTTCCACGAGCCCTAGTGGGAAATTGCAGTAGAATACATTTCTAGGAAAATCGAGGTAAAAGTTGTTCCTTATCACCCTTTGCCACAGGGTTGCAGTCTACAAGCTCTTTCCTGTCTTGCACAGCACTGATTTGGAACAAATGGAAGGAGCTCAGTGGATTGAAGTGCCAGAGCTGGGTTCGATTCCCTGGTTTTCCTGTCCTGCCTGAGATTTTCAGCAAGCCACTTGCCCACTGTCTTTGCTCAGATGAGACACTGAGATGCTGAAGGACCAGGAGCCCTGGGTGTGTGATAAATGGGTTTGCAATAGGAGGAGGCAGCTGATGTAGTGGTTGACATTTGAGATCCGTTCCTGGGTTTGTCGTTGGTGCACCAAGTCACCAGCTGATCCAAGTCTTTTAGGCAGAGTCAAACTTCTCTAAAATGATTTATCTCGATAGGCTGGAGACTCCTGTAAAGAGTCATATGCTGGGAAGGGGAGGATTTTGATTCTCAGATTGCAGAGTTGCAAAAAAGTCATACAACTTGACTAAAGCCGTTTGGGAAGCAGTGGCATAACTGCAAACCAAGCAAAACTTTTCAGACAACAACTCCAAGCACAAAACTGCCTTTCCACTTCCTCTGTCAATCCTGCATTGCGTTCAGGACATCGTTCTTCTGCTTTCAGGCTGGCGCTGGGCTGCATTTCCCCTCGATACATCTATGAGCAGATCCAGAAGTACGAGAAAGAGAGAACAGCAAATCAAAGCACATACTGGTATGTCCCAGCACGATCCCTGTGGCTTGTTTTCTCTGAAAAGGAAACTGGCATCACACACAGGAGAGAGTGATTTGTTAACTTCCTTCTTAATTAATGTTTGTTTTTCCTGTGCCTGCTGTCTTGTTCCTCGGGGTTGCATTGCAGTTCTGTTCCAGTATGGATTTATTACTCTGCCTTTGACATCCAGAGGCTTTAGGCACTTTGTAAGTAAAGGTTATTAATGCTAGTTGTCATTATTATTGCTGGGAAATTGTGGTTGGTGATTTTTAAAACTGATCTCTGTAAATCATCACCATCTCTCTCTGTATTGTTATTATGGGCTAGATGAGAAGGAAGAAGAATGATTTACAAATAAAAGCCAAAGAGTTTCTCACGCCGAGGATATGAGTGGGATTTCACCCAAAAGGCTCAACGACTGTGTGACTTGTACAAATCACATGGTGTCAGAAGGGCCTCTGGCCACAGTGGCCAGTGGCCTCGTGCTTGCTCAGCTGCTTGACCATGACCACACCACCATAGCAAAGGGGAAGAGGGGACTGGGAAGCGGGTTTAATGCATCCTGCCTTGTCACCCGTGCTCTTCCTCACCCTGCTGCTGGCTGTTCGCTTGCCTGTAGGTTGTCCTGAAGGAGTTTGAAGGATGGTTGAGGTCAGCATATCCATCCCTGGACTGGCCTTGAACTTGCTCATGCACTCTGATCTGCTCAGAGACTATGAATTAGAGCCTAGTAGGGAGCTCTTCTGGTAGGGAGAAACAGGTTCACGTTAGAGCCTGGCCTAACACTAGACCTGGGTGGGAAAAAACCCAGACCAGAAAGTCTGTGCAAACTGTAGAACTATGTTTTCTTACTGGTTTGTTAAATCTGCCACATGTCAAACAGCACAGTGGTTAGTGAAGAACAGGCTAACGTTGCCAACAGTTTTGGCCAAAATACACAATTTCATTAAAATCCAAATGACAGACAAAATATCGACCTTTTGCCTGTTGAAGTGTATGCTTTTTTTTTTCCTTCAAAGAGAATTAATAGAGGAAAGATTTCAAAAAATGACCATACTCATGTTTTCCATCTAATAGCCAGCCAGCCTGCCCGCAGGCAGGGTGCCGTGGTGATCTGAGCATTTTAAAGTGGTAAATAATTATAAAAAAGAAGCTGTCAAGCTCCCAAGCACTGCAGTCAGTTATACAGTGAAGTACAGGTCGTGGTGGCTGCATATGAGGGACTGACTGAACCTCAGTATCGTGACACTAGTTGTTAGCATTTGGAGAGTGTCCTTTTTTGTAACCAGGTTTTCCAGGAAGATCTTTTAAGCTAAAATCATAGAATCATAGAATCATAG